CTCGACTACGTCTAGTCTTACTGGACGTAGGAAAACCGCTGCAAGGAAACCTCTTAGGAGCCTACTTAATGATAGTCAAGCTAAGAGTATATTTCAGGAACAACTAGGAAAACAGTTAGGCAGCCATGTATGTGATGCCCACCCCGAGGCAGCATGGAATGATATCCGAAAAGCTGTGGAAACAGCAGTGATATCTGCTAGTACGGTAACCCGTAAGGTTAGGGAACGACACTGGATCTCAGCAGCATCTATCGCACTGATAGATGCTCGGAAACTCATTCCACCTGGCTCTGAACATAGTGAAGAGCGGAGTCAGCTTAAGCGCAAACTGACAAGAAGTCTACGCAATGATCGCGAACAGTGGTGGGTAGCGAAAGCAAGAGAGATGGAAAAGGCAACGGCAATAGGTAATAGCAGACAATTGTTTAGACTCGTTAAGGAAACCGGAATTAGGAACCCGACTGTTAGCGAAACAATCTCAGAGAAAGATGGACATATTATTCATTCTCAATCCAGGAGATTGGATCGATGGGCAGAACACTTTAGGGATCAGTTCAACTGGCCTTCAGCCACACTTCGGTTTCCCACGATCCCCAGTCAACCTGAATGGCAAGTTAATGTAGGTCCTCCGTCTCTTAACGAAGTTGAAAAAGCCATAGGAAATCTGAAACGAGGGAGAGCAGCAGGCCCTGACAGGTTTACTCCTGAGATTTTTAAGGATGGTGGTCCAGTATTAGCAATGAGATTAACCGAGGTCTTAGGTAGAATTTGGGAACTGGACGTAATCCCATCTGACTGGTCTCAATCACTGATTGTGCCAGTTTATAAGAAAGGACAAAAGTCCTCTTGTGACAATCACAGAAGAATCAGTTTGACTAATATAGTGTCTAAAATATTAGCTTCAATAATACTTCGACGCCTAATCAAAGCTCGTGAAGAGCAGACTCGAGAAAATCAGGCTGGTTTTCGACCTGGACGTGGTTGTATAGATCAGATATTCACACTACGTCAGGTTCTAGAACACAGACACACATTCAGACGCCCCACAATGGTAGTATTTCTCTATCTTAAGGCGGCATTCGACTCTGTTGACCGTGAGGTTCTATGGCAGTGTTTGTCACTGAAAGGAGTACCAAAGAAGTACATTAACCTTATTCAGGCTCTCTACTCGAACACAACTGGTAGAGTGAGGGCTTATGGCGAACTGTCATCAGAATTGGTTGCATCAAGTGGTGTTCGTCAGGGCTGTCCACTCTCCCCATTCTTGTTCAACTTTGTGGTCGACGTACTTTTAGAGATAACACTCTCCTCATCTAAATTTCCGGGGGTTGAACTTCTACAGGGAGGTTCACTTGTTGACTTAGAATATGCAGATGACATAGTTTTATTTGGTGAAGACGCTGACAAAATGCAGAGTCTTCTGACCACTCTAAGCAACAATGCAAGCATGTTCGGCATGTGATTCTCTCCCTCGAATTGCGAAATGTTGCTTCAGGATTGGGTTACATCGACACCCGAACTAGTGATAGGGAGTGAAGAAGTTGAGTGTGTCGACTGCTTCACTTATCTTGGAAGTCTCATCAGCCCTTGTGGTCTGGTGTGTGACGAAATCTCAGCACGGATACAGAAGGCTCGACTAGCTTTTGCCAACTTGCGTCATTTATGGCGTAGGCGAGATATCCATCTACCAACTAAAGGACGTGTTTACTGCGCAGCAGTTCGTTCCGTCCTACTTTATGGCTGTGAAACATGGCCGGTAAGAGTAGAGGATATTCGTAAGTTACTAGTATTTGATCATAGGTGTCTTCGAAGTATTGCTCGTATATCCTGGGACCACCGAGTAAGTAACGCAGCTGTTAGGAAACGGGTACTACGTAAGGATGGCAAATCAATTGATGAAGTAGTGAAACTTCATCAGTTGAGATGGCTGGGACACGTGTTACGTATGCCCAACCACCGACTACCTCGACGTGCTATATTCAGTGGTATAGGAGTAGGTTGGAAGAAAGCTAGGGGCGGCCAGACCAAAACATGGCACAAATCCATGAAGTCACTCACAAGTGGACTGAGTCATGTTGGTAGGTGTAGACTACCTGGTTGGGGACCGCGAGATGATAGCAACCTATGGTTAGAGACCCTGAATGACATGGCTCAAAATCGTTTGCAATGGCGCAGGTGCATCCACTCTCTATGTTCTCCCAAATTCTAATTATCTGAATTCTTCATGCCCCTTTTTTTCCTCTTTCCAAATTTATTTCACTGGATTATACTCGTTAAATAACATCTCCAAACCCTAATCTTCCCGATTACTGCTTATACTCTTGCTACCTCTACCACTACGGGATTTGAATCGAACACTGCATCTCTGTGCTAATGTGGTATGGCAACTCGAACTGATTTACGTACGTACTAAGTTCTACGTTGTCACTGACTGACTGACTGACGACTACGTCTATCTGCTCACCATTCAGGGTGAGTACAGGATTGGGATCCTGCCAGTCTTGTAGAAGTACTTTGCACTTCGAAGGTGCAAAGCACATACCATACCTACGGACACTGATTGCCAACTGATTAAGTGCGGATTGCATGCCTTGGGCATTATCGCACAGTAAGACAATATCGTCTGCATACTCAAAGTCGAGAAATCTTCTCTAGGCAACAGATCTACACCGCCATTACCTACATCCATCAGAGCTGTTTCCAGAATGCCATCGATGGCAAAGTTGAAGAGGAACGGTGAGATTGGGCAATCCTGTCTAACCCCATTGCTTGAATGGAACAATGGAGAAAGGTGGTTGTATGCCCTCACTCTGCCTGAGGTGTTTGTATATAGGGCTTTTGAGATGTTAATAAACTTCCAGGCATACCCGTCTTCAATAAACATTCCCAGAGAACAGTCTTGTCCAAAGAATCGAAGGCAGCCCTGATATCAAGAAACACTACATAAATAAAATGAAAATGACGATATTTACTGAATATAATACTAACAAAAGTTGTCTACCAGTATGAGTTTGTCAATATTATTACTTTTTGATTGAGATCATGAGTCGCTTTGTGCTAGACCACCATTAAAAACGTGGAAACACTAAACGACCGTTTCGTCTCCACAACTCCATATTGATAATTTTCATGTGCTCACTAGTGACTAGCTTCGTGAGGGAATTCTCAGAGTTAGGAGCTGTGACCAGTGGAGCTAGTCTATGTCTGGTAGAGACAGATATCTAGCTCATTACAATAAAAGATGGTGGCACAATTTCGTGTATTGGTTGAGTCTAGACATTTACACCGTCGGATGCCGGCTCAGTGGTCCAGTAGCTTAAATGTTCACGTGCGAGACCGATTGGTTTTGGGTTCGAGTCCCGTGAGCGGAATTGTAGATGCACATTGCTGGGGAGTGTCAATGGGGCGGAACAGACGTCCAGTTGTCCTAGGTTTCCAATGGTGGTCAATCGATTCATGATCTAAATCAAAATGTTCTCTATATGAGCTACATTCACTAAAGTTATGTGAGATGTATTTGTTACACAATATTCTATATGCCTAAATTAGTTCATTCAACTTGTTTATTCACTGATCAAAATGGGCTTCTCCCATCTTAGGCTGATAGTTTGTTCTATGACAATGTTATATTGATCGAGAATCATAAGTAGTTGTTGTATACATATGCGAGGACTATTCTATCTATCTATCTCCCTCTCCGGCGTTCACTCTTAAAATACATCCATGATACAAGAAGTATCTATTTTGTCTTATATATTAGATTGAATAAAGTGATACACAAAACTTTATTGGCTTAATCTGTTTGCCTCAATAATAGCTTCATAATCCATAGACCTTTCCTATGAGTTGTTTGTGTAGTTATTTAGAAAAGTTAATACTTCCCCTGTGATATGAGCTACTTATATCCACACAAGTAGTATATAACGATAGTCAGGAGCAGAATTGTTGTGACGGGTTGACTGCAGATTTGAGTGAAGCGTTCTCATCGATCGATTACAGTGATACGTAAAACACGCACAGACGGCCTAGAGTCTCGATTGGTCCCGCTTCCCTGTCTAGCCCAGCCAGTTGAGTCCAGAACGCAAGTCTTAGCCTCTAGGATATGAATCATTATATTTCAGACATATTCTGTTTATGTACCAACCAAACAAACCATATCGTACCATAAAATAGAAAAACAATATTTGACAAGTGAAATAAATATCGACCAATAGGAAATGTCCATTTAACGTCCAAGGACACCATCAGACTTAACACGATAATTATTGGTATATTCCTCCGCATCCATAACAAGAATGTATTTCAGTAGAAGATCGTGTAGGAAAGAACGGTAACGGAAGGCAATTGATATTTGCGAAAAGAACAGTCAAGTTTGAAACAATTGATTGATAGTTTGCAAATTATCTATTTTTCCAGTATGGTTCTCAGATTTTGTAAGACGTTCTGTAATTTTGTGTACAGATACATTCGATTGACCTCACTCGTATTCTTGTTCACTAGACACCTACACCCCTTCGTACTGTTTATCAAGCAGGTTAGTCAGTAGTAAGGATACCGCGAAGAAAAATCAAAATATCTCTGCATAGAAATCGAATCCAAGTCTTAAATGGATAAGTGACAGGTTCTTGATAGTCTTGAAAAGGTTAAAACCTCACAATTGATTGATCACTGGGTGGTGATCACTGTCATGTGTGTCAAGTCCTTATTTAGTACAGATCGAATGCTATCGACCTCCCAAATAAATAATTAAGGTGTAGTTTTTAAAACAATCTTTATCATCCTGTACACAACCAATCAGAATAACAAAGTTCTAATTTTTCCACATTTTCACTCTTCCCCCAAAGTATTATTTAAACATACACATACACACGCACACACTTCGTATATTGGTAAATCTATCGATTTTAATATTTGTGATGATGGGGATCAAGGTCATGATTTCCTTATGCTACATTGATTGGACCACTAAAATATATAAATTGTGTGCAATGATTATCGATGAAACTATACAGTTAATTCTAAATCCTTCCTCATTCTGACAACAACATATAATAATGTATACTGGAATTTCTCAACTTATTTTACAGAGAGTATTATCCTATTTTATTCTATTGAATATAGTTTACATTACTATTATACATAGTAATCATAATAATTATTATTCACCTAATATGTTATGTCCAAGTGGTTATTGGCCAGCTAAAGTAAATTTAACTGGTGGTCATTATCAAACTGATCGAACATTTGAATTACTTTATCATTCTAATGCTAAATTACCTATATGTCAATTTTGTCCAAATGTTGGCTGTTTTATTGTACGTTTATCAACAATAGAAACAAAGAAAAGTTCATCAATTAATATTGATAAAACAACACAATCATCATTGATACCTACTACTACTAGTAGTAGTACTATTTCGACCACTCAATCAATTATAAATGAAACAGATTCAACTTCTATGAATAATAATATAACTGAAACAAATGATTTCAATGAAACTATGGAACAAACTATTCATAATGCTTTATATATGTCATGTGATTATTGGAATAATTTACCATCACCAACAGATATCATTAGTTATTTAGATTGTGTTATGATTGGTAATAATAATCAATTTTATTTATTTATATATGAACCAAGATTTCAAGAATATTCATTACCACCAGTTGATTGTATAGATGCAGATTTTTTAGCATGGATTAAAAATGATAGTGAATTATTAGGTTTAGAATTAGGATTTCGTATGAAAACTATACCACCATTTTTATTTCGTTATTATCAACGTATAATGCAAGTAAGTTAATATTATCTATTTAAGTATAAATGTATTACTTAACAATTTCTCAACCTCTAAATACAAGTTATTGCTTCACAATTGGCCTGCGTTAAAACACATGAACTAAGGATAGAGAGTGAAATAGTCGAACGCGTTGACAACTTCACTTATCTTGGATGTCTGACCAACCCTAATGGTTTAGTGTGTGACGAAATCTCAGCACGGATTTAAAATGCTTGTTTAGCGTTTGCCAATTTATGTCACCTATGGCGAAGGCAAGATATCCATCTATCAATCAAAGGACGAGTATACTGTGCGTCTGTCCGTTCTGTTTCAATTTACGGCAGCGAAACATGGCCATTAAGTGTAGAAGATACTCGTAAGCTACTAATATTTGACCACAGATGCCTTAGAAATATTGCTCGCATCTGCTTGGGTCACCGGGTAAGTAATAGTGAGGTTAGACGTATGGTATTAGAGAATGATTGTAAATCAGTTGATGAGGTTGTGAATCTTCATCGACTAAGATGGTTGGGCCACGTCTTGCTTATGCCTGAACACTACGATTACCACGACGTGCAATGCTGACTGGTGTTGGGAATGGTTGAAAGAAAGTTAGTGGCGGCCAAACGAAAACGTGGCATCAATTGCTTGAAGTCACTAGCTTCTAGTCTGAGCCATGTTAGTAGATGCAGACTACTTGGATGGGGTCCGCGTGACTCTTGGTGATAAGACTCATAATCGATCACAATGGCGTCGGTGTATGTACTTTCTCTCTTCCTTTAAACTACGAGGTTAAAATCACCTCATATCTTTGTTTCCATGAACTAATTCTTTCTTCCTATGCTATGTTCTTATATGCAGTCTTTCTTTTATATACTACCTTTACTGAATTAACTAGTTATATGAACACGGGGTTCACCTTGTTGTGCTAATAAGGTGTGGTAACTTGGACCGATGCACATATGTGCCTGATCTTACGTTGTGGCTGACTGCTTAGCAATTCGGTGTTAATATAATACGGATTGATTTCAGTTGAGTAACGATTGAAATCCAGAGACCATCGGGGGATTATCTCATGATAATATGGGACTCCTCAGTAGTGAATACTCAAGACCCAGTTAGTGATCTTAATCCAAGACATCTAGGTCTCTTGGAGAACTGTTAACCGTTGACATTACTTACTTACGCTTGTTACTCCTCGTGAAGGAGTATAGGCCGCTCACCAACATTCTCCATCTAACCCTGTCCTGGGCAATCCTTTCCAGTTGTTATTCATCATTTTCATATCCGCTTTTATTTCCCAACGCGCTTGTCTCGTGATTTTTGTCTGATGATTTTCGTAATGTATGTCCTATCCATTTCCATCGTCTTTTCCTAATTTCCTCCTCAGCTGGAAGCTGGTTTGTTTTCTTCCACAGTAGGCTGTCGCTAATAGTAACTGACCAATGTTCATTGAGTATCTTACATAGACATTTGTTTATAAACACTTGTACTTATTTGATGATGTTTTTAGTAGTCCCCCAAGTTTCAGCTCCGTACAGTAGGACTGTCTTGACGTTCGTATTGAAGATTATGACTCTGATATTGGTTGACAGTTGTTTTGAGTTCCATACGTTCTTCAATTGTAGGAATGCAGCCCTTGCTTTGCTAATCGTAGCCTTTACGTCTGCATCCGATCCTCATTGTTCATCGATGATGCTTCCCAGGTACGTGGAGGATTCTACATCTTCCAGGGTTTCGCCACTGTTATTGGGTTGGTGTTCTCCGTGTTGCACTTAAGGACCTTGGTTTTCCTCTTGCTGCAGAGACGGCTACTACACCAGTTGCCTTCATCTGCATTTGTTCGTATGTATGGGATAAGAGGGTTAGGTCATCTGCATAGTCCAAATCGTCTAATGGGTTCTGAGCTGTCCATTGTATGCCGTGTTTTCCCTCAGATGTCGAGGTCTTCATAATCCAGTCGATCACCAGAAGAATGAGGAAGAGGTAGTATGATTTACAATGATGAAATAATACTCATCGAATGGATACGTTACGTAATAATGACATAATGACATTTTGAATACAAATGAACATTGAGTAAATGGAAGAGAGAGAAATAATAATAATCAAAGTAACTATTCGATAATCAAGAAGATGCTACGTTGCATATTATATGAAAAAGAGAAGGAACGGGATATTTTAATAGATGGTCAATAGAATAGTAGTTATGTAAGAATCAAGAGATGAATGTTGAGAAAAAATACAATGTTCAAAATGCAAAAACCCAAATGGAAGGAGTACAAAAATAGTTTTGCTGCAAGCACCGTTATACCGATCGCCAAGGTAGCGAAAGTGGTTGTACAAATTTCTTTTGGCTGCAAAAGTTAGGTTTGTGAACATGGATTGCGATGACTTCCGCAATATTCAAAAGACGCACTCATAAACCGTGTGGCAAATTTGATGGAATATGGTAGATAACCTTAAAAGATTTATTCAGTTCAACTTGATGATCTGTGTCAACCAAGTCAACGAAAATAGGACTCTTAATGTAGTGAAGGAGAACACAGGTGAGGACAACCAAATTGTATTTAGCACAAATTACAGAGTTACTTGGTAAAATAGAAAAACCATATTGTCAATCGTTAATTTGCAAAATATCATCACATCATATCAAACCAGACTGTTGCAAACACCAATCCATTGTCTCACATTTCATTGTTCATGCGATTTTTTACAAATTCCATTGTGTTCTCGCTCTTCTTTTCTGGATCTTCCCCATGTTCTGCTGCCAGACATTTCGTTCTTTTAACTCACGTTATATACTACTTATATCAATATAAGTAGCACGCACCACATTAATCATTCTTACCTGTCCTTTGCTTAACCACGACGGATGAAGCTCTGTTATACAATGATGAACTTGCCAAATTGTACGTCCTATATAACTGGCTGCACAGGAGCAGTTGAATCGATAAACATACACGGATTTGGAGAATTAAGACAATCTGTTTTTATTGGCCGTTCTTATTGTGCGGTAGTTGAAGAAGATAGCACTTAGTCTGGCTGTATTAAATGCTTTTTGTACCGCTTTTCTTAGTCTCTGAGTCACAATTTCTTCAGTAGTCATCTATGAATTGTAATTTTATGAACAATAATTTCTTAGGAACGGTAGGTATCTTTGTCCTTCTTTTCATCTCCTTCATGTGTTTGTCGATGAATTTTATATGGTACCCATTATTACTAAGTGAGTTACGAATATTAACTAATTCATCTCCAATAGTGTCATCCGACCAAGTCATTCTGGCACAATGAGTCAGGATCTTTATCAAGTTCCTTTTGTATCTGATTAGAACTGCACTGTAGAAATGAATGTATTGTCCTGTTGCAGACTTTCTGTGTACCCATCTTTTTAAAGTCCTGCCTGCTTGTCTAGTTAATTGGACATCTAGAAATGATATGCTATTGTTCTGTTCTTCCTCTGAAGTAAAATTAACTGATGGATAAACGTTATTAAATATATTAGGTAAATTGTCCTTATCCTGTTCTTTTTCTAATACTATGAAAGTATCGTCTATATAGGGATAATAAGATGGTATATGGCTAATTGTACTTTTAAGTGGTCCATTTTCCATTTTAGCAAGAAAAATGTCCGCCAGAAGAGGGCTCAATGGTGACCCCATGGCTACCCCATCTAGTTATCTTTAGTATTCGTTGTCAAATCTGAATTGGTCATTCATTGTACATCTAAGAACTATCTGTTTTATTGCGGATGCGGGAATTGCGGTTTGTATGTGCCTCACTGTTAGTTCATTGCAAATAAATTCTACCGTTTCAAGTAGTGGGATGTTATAGTGAATAAGGATGATACATCTAGTGATATCATGAAGTTATTGTTGACCAATATATTTTTTATATTCTCAACAAATTCAAAGGAATCCTTGATACTATACTTGACAATTTCTTTGTGTAATAGTTTGAGAATTTGCACCAACTATTTTGCTATAGTATGATAAGCTGAGTTATTCATATCTAGAACTTGACGAAGCAGCAAGTCACTTTTGTTTGTTTTTGGCAGGTCATATCATTCTTGTAGGTTTCAACATTTCAAACACCTTTTCTGAAATAAAACCTTGTTGTTTAATTTGTTTCAGTGAATTTATTAGTTGCTTTTCAATTTACCATTTTGATTGTGAATAATGGACAAGCTTAAAGTATATGTTAATAGACTTCCATCTAGTATCTTTAGTTAAGCAACTCAGTTTTCTATTGACTAATTGCCTCTGAGATGATGGAGATTCGTAACTCAGGTTGATGATTTTGGTGAAGTTTGTGCTGATGATTTCGTTCAGAACGATGAAATCTCCACGACCAAACCATGCAACTCAGAGGACAAAACTTCAACGAAAACTAATTGAAACATTCACTCCTAGATAGTCAATACAACTCAAAAGGAAACTGATCACATCCTAAAGATCATTCATGAAGCAACTAGCAAACATAAATAAACGTTCTGAATACTTCAGTGAAATGCGAATTCATAACGAAAACATTCCTTGAATTTTAACTGAATTGTATTTGCTCTGAATTGAATAGCTTTACTGTAAACATTTGATTGTCCATCTTAGATAACTTGACTTACTTACCTACGCCTCTTACTCTGAATGGAGCATAAGCCGCCGACCAGTATTCTACAACTCACACTGTCCTGGGCCTGCCTTTCTATTTCTATACAACTATTGTTCATTCTTCTCATTTCCATCTGTCTTCGTTTCTCGGCGTAATGTGTTCTTTGGTCTTTCTCTCCTCCTTTGAACTTGAGGATTCCATGTGACGCAGTTGGGTGCTTTCCTTGATGTGTGTCATATCCACTTCCAGTGCTTCTTCCTGATTTCTTCCTCCGCTGGAATCTGGTTTGTTCTCTCCCACAGTAGGTTGTTTGCTAATGGTGTCCGGCCAACGAATCCGAAGTATTTTGCGTAGACAGCTGTTAATAGACACTTGTATCTTCTGAATGATGACTTTCGTAGTTCTCCAATTTTTCTCCCCATATAGTAGAACTGTTTTGACATTTGTATTGAAAATCCTGACCTTGGTATTGGCTGACAGTTGTTTTAAATTCCAGATGTCCTTCAGTTGTAAATATGCTGCTCTTGCTCTTCCGATCCACGCCTTCACATCTGCATCAGATCCGCCATGTTCATCAATGATGCTGCTCAAATATGTAAAGGCTTATACATCTTCCAAATCTTCTCCGTCAATTGTGACTGGATTGGTGCATGCTGTGTTGTGTCGGAGAATCTTGCATTTCCCTTTGTGTATATTGAAACCCACTGATTCTGAGGCTACTGCTATACTGGTCGTCTTCTCATGCATTTGTTGTTGCTTTTGCGATATAAGAGCCAGATCATCTACGAAGTCTAGATCGTTCAACTGCATCCTAGATGTCCACTGTATCTCGTACTTCCCTTCGGATATTGACGTCTTTATGATCCAGTCGATCACCAGAAGAAAGAGAAAGGATGAGAGTAAGCAACCTTTTCTGACACCGGTCTTTAATTTGAACTGGTCTGTCAATTGTCATTCATGCACGATTTTGCATTTTAATCCATTATAGGAATTCAGTATGATATTGACTATCTTTTGATTCACGCCGTGGTATCGAAGAAGCTTCCATAGTGTTGTTCTGTCCACGCTATCAAATGCTTTCTCGTAGTCAATGAAGTTGATGTAGAGTGATGAGTTCCATTCAATTGATTGTTCCACAATGATTCGTAGATTTGCGATTTGGTCTGTACACGATCTATCCTTACGGAATCCAGCCTGCTGGTCTCGGAGTTGGGCATCTACACAGTCCTTCATCCTGTTTAACAATACCCTGTTGAATATAACTTGACTATCAAGACAAATTTCAGATAGAAGTGAACTATAAGAAGTTTTCTACAAGTAATCACTTGTTCTTTCTACTTTGAATTTGATTGATTGTTGTCAATATTGACTTCTATTATTATAGTCATATTTATATTGTCCATACTGGTTGTTTTTTTTTAAAAATTCATTTCAGTTAACACAATATATATGTATTGATGGAAGAAGTTTAATAAATAATTCTATACCATTTGAAGATACTGAACGTTTTGCTAGTAATAAATTAACACAAGTTGTATTTCGTTCATTAACTGGATTAAAAAGAGAACGTTTACCACCAAAACCAATTGATATTCATCATATAACAGAATTTCAAAGTGATGAAGAAGTTCAATCATGTCCATTTATTGTTCAACATAAACCAGCTAATATTACATCAAATGTTGATTGTCAATTTTCACCTGGTGTAAGTTAGTTAGTTATTATTATTATTATTATTGAACTATTAGTAATCCATTCATTTGTGTTGATGAATTGAATTTTCCAAAATGATGTTAAAGATTGCAATTGATCACAATCACTTCTTTTGGAACATTAACTGACGAACCTTAAATCTAATGAAATGTGCATCATCGATTCCACGGCTAGCCACCATCTATCTCTGCTTATAATGCAAATAAATAGATTGTTTTCTAGAGTATTCTGTTCCTTGAGATGGATAGTTGAATTGTCAAGCTTTCATTGTCTTTCTTTGCAATATCATTACCTCTTCTTTTTTTTCAAAAGAAGTGAGTTACTAAAATTTCTCCACAATTGACTAGCTCTGCTCAAAGCACAAAACATCATTTAAATTCTTATCCTGAGCTACAAATATTCTTCATTGCAAAATAGTTTATTGAATTTAATGGAATTATTATAGTTATGATATAAATATCTCAGTAGGAAAAAGTACTAACTGTGACAATGGGAGACATGAATGTTATTGTAGACATCAATTCCTCTCCATTTGACTCCAATAGATGATACTGAGTGTTTAAGCAGGGCAATTCTTCTGTCAATATTGTTAGTTTAATCGGGAATATTCACAAGCCAGAATACCAATTGATGAGATAGTGTATTGTTACTAATTATTGAAATTTGTAAGCACATTGAGAAGCGAGAGTGTGAGAGGTAACTCATCCTACCTTACCTAAGAACAAATCAGGTCATAATTACACATTTGTTGATGAACTTTTATTTCTCTATCGTTTTACGAAGTGAACACAATTATTTATTCATAATTAATGACAGTAGCTAGTGAATGATTTACTTCTCGTCTAAATTCAAGTTATGCTAATAGTTGAATTTATGAGTCGATCTACGATAGATTACCATTGGAAACCTAGAAGCACCGGATGGTCGTCTCGTCATAGTATGATACTCCTCAGTAGTGCGCATCCACGACTCGAACCCAGAACCTTCGGTCTCGTGCGTGAACGCTCAACCTGTAGACAACTTAGCCGGCACCCAATCGTGTTAATGTCTAACTTTAATCGACCCAAGTTATGTTAAACAATTTCAAATAACAGTTATTTGACTTTCTTAATCAATCAAAGAGCATCATAGTACCATACTGTTTTATTAATAAAGGATTGGCTTTTCATTTACCTTAAATATCCAATAACGAAATCAGTGAATTCCAATGTCATGTCACTTTCACTAACGCATAAATCTTTAGTCGGTAGACAGGGATTGATACTGAGCAATACAACTCGGTGGTCAATCAGCGTGAGCATCTTAATGATACAGAAATGAACAGTTAGTCGAACAGTTCAGCTGTTAAGTATCTAATCTTGATACTAGGTGATACCGGTTGGAATCTACCAAAATACCTCAGTTTCTATACGATAGCAGATAAGCTTTGCTGACGAGTCCCACTTACTCCGAAACCTATGTCAACGTTGGTCGGCTTTAACTTAATAATATCAAATTTATTGAGGCATCCAGATAACAACTCACAGGTGATTGATTTGAGTACGACAATGGTGTTTTTCCTTTTCACTTAAATTATTATTACTGTGGTTACATTTGCATGCACAACACATTGGACGTTTTTTATTTTCAAAACTAGGGTTTACCAACTACATCGGATAAAGTTAGCTCACTTCAAGCATTAGAACGTTGCCCATTTCGTCGACTAACGACAAATACATTACAGACAAGACGAAGAAAGACCAATAATCCAATGGAAGAAGAAATATATTTACCACCTTCTGTATTATCAGCTTGTTTATTAATTGTTGTACTATTATTAACCATTGGTATAATTATTGCATTCTGTATAATTAATCATGAAAAATTAATGTTATGTAAATCACGTAGTAGGAAACGACGTGAACGAGAAGCTGCACTTGCACAAGAGATGGATGAAAAAGCTGCTAAAGAAGCTGCAGCTGCCGCTGCCGCAGCAGAAGCTGAGCAACAACAACAACAAACATCAACAATACGACATCCTATTTATGCTAGATATGGTATGATACCACCGAATATGGGTGGTGCATTCGGTGCATTTGCTCCAGCATATCAAACAATGACAGTTAATATGAATATGCCTAGTAATGTAGTAAGACAAAATCATGGATTTAATGGACCAATGTAAAATACACAGGAATAATGATAATTTTCTTTATAAATATTCATTAAACTTTATTATTTATGAACGGAGAAAAAGGAATCAACAAACACTTTCTAATCAATAATCACTTAGATCTTTACTGTTTTACACAGAGATTCATATTAAAACTTGTTAGCAGTCTAAGCTCATTTATTATAAAACATAAAATATTTAAAATGTACCTGAAATGATTTAGTTTTTGTATGCATAAGGATGTCAATAGTTCATTAGTCAATGAATCGAATTTTCTTCTTGATTATTTCTGTGAATACATAAATATTGGTACAAAAGGTTACTGAATACATATGAGCCACACAAGTTACATGATTTGTGTGTAGGTTGTGATACTACCCGGGTGCCCAAACAGAAACGGGTGTTTTTCTTATTCGCAAGGCAGTAGGACAACGTTAGAAGAAGCAGTCTAATGGTAACCGCTGACCAAAAATCGGTTCATACGCTATTTGTCCAGGTTGTCAGTCAGCAACAATGTAGGACTTCGTACATCGGTACACCAGTTCCAGATGCCACACAACATTAGTACACAAATACAATTGTCTATTCAAATCCCATAGTGGTAGAGGTACTAAAAATATAAGCAGTAATCGGAGACATTAGGGTTTGAAGATGTAATTCAAGTAGTGTAATCCAGTAAAAAAAATTTGGAAAGAGAAAAAAGAAGCGGACATGAAGAATTCGGAATATTAGAATTTGGGAGAACACAAAGAGTGTATGCACCTGCGCCATTACAAACGATTTTGAGCCATTTCATTCAAGGTCTCTAACCATCGGTCGCTATCATCTCGCGGATCCCAACCAGTTAGTCTACACCTACCAACATGTCTCAGTCCACTTGTCAGCGATTTCGTGGATTTTTGCCATGTTTCGTTCCTACTCCTACACCACAAAATATCGCTCGTCGAAGCAGTCGGTGATTGTGCATACGTAACACACCTCTCAGCCATCTCAACTAATGAAGTTTCACCACTTCATCAATCGATTCGCCATCCTTACCTAGTACTCGTTTCCTAACAACTGCATTACTTGCTCGATGGTCCCAGGATATATGAGCAATGCATCGAAAATAGTTATGATCAAATACTAGTAACCTACAAATATCCTCTACTCTTACTGGCCATGTCTCACTGCCATAAACTAGGACGGAACAAACTGCTGCGCAGTAAACCCATCCTTTGGTTGATAGACGGATATCTCGCCTACACCATAAATGACGAAAGTTAGCAAAAGCTAGTCGAGCCTTCTGTATCCGTGCTGAGATTTCGTCACACACCAGATCACAAGGGCTGATGAGACTTCCAAGATAAGTGAAGCGGTTGACACGCTCAACCACTTCACTCCCTATCATTAGTTCGGGTGTCGATGCAACCCAATCCTGAAGCAACATTTCGCATTTCGAGGGAGAGAATCACATGCCGAACATGCTTGCATTGTTGCTTAGAGTGGTCAGAAGACTCTGCATTTTGTCAGCGTATTCACCAAATAGAACTATGTCATCAGCATATTCTAAGTCAACAAGTGAACCTCCCGGTAGAAGTTCAACCCCTGGAAATTTAGATGAGGAAAGTGTTATCTCTAAAAGCACGTCAACGACAAAGTTAAACAAGAATGGATAGAGTGGACAGCCCTGGCGAACATCACTTGAGGTAACTAACTCTGATGACAAGTGGCCGTAAGCACTCACTCTACCATTTGTGTTCGAGTAGAGAGCCTTTATAAGATTAATGTACTTCTTTGGCACTCCTTTCAGGGACAAACACTGCCATAGAACCTCACGATCATCAGTGACAAATACCACCTTAAGGTCGGGAAATAGTACGACTGTGGGGCGTCTGGAAGTGTATCTGTGTTCTAGAACCTGTGAATATCTGATCTATACAACCACGTCTAGGTCGAAAACCAGCCTGATTTTCTCTAGCCTGCTCTTCACGAGCTTTGATTAGGCGTCGAAGTATTATTGAGGCTAATATTTTAGGCATTATATTAGTCAAACTGATTCCTCTGTGATTGTCACAAGAGGGCTTTTGTCCTTTCTTATAGACTGGCACAATCAGTGATTGGGACCAGTCAGATGGGATTACGTCCAGTTCCCAAATTCTACCTTAGACCTCAGTTAATCTCATTGCTAATACTGAACCACCATCCCAAAAGATCTCAGGAGTAAACCTGTCAGGGCCTACTGCTCTCCCTCGCTTCAGATTTCCTATGGCTTTTTCAACTTCGTAAAGAGTCGCAGGACCTACATTAACTTGCCATTCAGGTTGACTGGAGATCGTGGGAAACCGAAGTGTGGTTGAAGGTCAGTTGGACTGATCCCTAAAGTGTTCTGCCCATCGATCCAATCTCCTGGATTGAGAGTGTATAATATGTTCATCTTTCTCTGAGATTGTTTCGCTAACAGTCGGTTTCCTTAACAAGTCTGAACAATTTTCTGCTATTACCTACTACCGCTGCCTTTTCCATCTCTCTTGCTTTCGTACCCACCACTGTTCACGATCATTGCGTAGACTTCTTGTCAGCTTGCGCTTAAGCTGACTCCGCTCTTCATTATGTTCAGAGCCAAGTGGAATGAGTTTCCGAGCATCTATCAGTGCGATAGATGCTGCTGAGTTCCAGTGTCGCTCCCTAACCTTACGGGTTACCGTACTAACAGATATCACTGCTGTTTCTACAGCTTTACGGATATCATTCCATGCTGCCTCGGGGTGGGCATCACATAAATGGCTGCCTAACTGCTTTTCCAGTTGTTCCTGAAATATACTCTTAGCTTGAATATCATTAAGTAGGGCCCAGGTGTCTTTCTCTTTCGCTTAGTTTACCTACTTGAGTATTAAAGTCACCAGCCAATGTTACTACATCAGAGCGCTTAGCTTTTCCCTATCTTTCAGAGTCCTTATTGTTTTGTTTAGTCGAACAGCGCACAAACGACTGTCTACTAAGATCTAGTCTAAGAGAGCTATTTCGGCCCTAGGACTCAATGCTATATCTACGCCAGATAGGCCACGGGAAGCAGAATCAGGGCTTCCAGATACACGAAGTGTGAATCGAGTTGCTTCTTTATTTTGACATGGTGAGGTCAGATGAATGACGCTACTCGGATCCTGTATGCCTGTTTCTGAAACGCAGCACACATCGATGGCGCGGGATTCTAAAGTATTAGCTAAGGAAGCCTGTTGTCCTATTTGGCACAGTGTTCGGACGTTGAAAGCTCCTACGTGTAGTTTGGAGCGTGGTTTCAGGAGACCAGGAATAGCGTTCCGCGTACTCGAATAGTTTGCCCGGTGCGAGATGAAAAAAGGACATGAGAAGGGTTAGACGTGGAGATAAGAGAGTTATTAAGAGGTGTAGGAAGGATTTGATCGTGTGTTGTTACGGGTATGAAGGCTGATATCACTTCTCGGCTGTCCACAACGTAAAAGGGTATTTCTTGAGGAACCTGAAAAGGATATTGGATTAGTGTTGGTTTTAACGACCTGAGAACGTGACCGCAGAGCACAAGGGACAACTGTTTGATGTCGATCGCGCACAGCCTTTTCGTGGAAGGTTTTTAATGTATTAGCTCCGTTCTTCAAAGGGCCTTACCGCCGGAGACGGAAATCCGTGAGGTAAGATGTGACAGCTTTAGGGTCAACCTTTTCTATCTCCAACCCTCCTTGTGGGAAGGCAGCATCGCTACAGATGTTGGTTGTCTGAGGTAAACACCTTACTGCTGTCACATCCCTGTACAGTCAGCAGTACGACTTCGCCCTCAGACCTTGAGTTGCTGCTTTTAGTCTTACCGTTCTCCAATCCACCTGCCTGGGATGGTAAAACCAACAGGAACATATGTTCCAGCCAATATAGCTCGGTTGGGTCATCACGATAGGCAAGCCCGACCACCGCGTCAAGGTAGCAGCTACGGTCGGGACATAATCGAACACAATTTGAAGAGTTCACATAATTTAGGATAAAGCTAGCAAATAAGTGTGAGTGGAAGGGTGGTTTAAGAGTTGCGTAACTCATCTTATCAGAGAACTAACTGCATGAAATTGCCTAGTTCGGTACTAATACTAATTTGATAATAGACGTATACCAACAACGGAAAATATGTCAGGTGGTTGCCTTATCTGTAGGCTTTTACGTGGAAGTCGCATTACTGTTCTAAGTGACTTGTCGATTCGTCACAATTAACAATGATATAACGCTAAGTTCTAATGACACTTCAAAACTAATGTAGTAGTACAAGTTCTTAATTCTCGCCCAGTTATTCGTTAAAACTATTGGTATACCTCCCACTGAATATATGAAGACGAGATCGTGGAGCCCAACTATCCTAGGTGAACTCTCCGTGTCCACCAACCCGGTTAAAGTGCTGGACATTCGCTCTTCGTTCTCTCAATTTCGTAATCAACACCCCGGCAGTAGTTTTATGCACATGGTCATGTGATAACATTTCGAGAGGTAGAGCTGACTCTCTCCACTCTCGGCCGTACCAGGGCATTTTGGGGGTAATATATTGATTTAATGCTTATTATTAAGAGCTTATTTATTTATTAAGCAAAATTGGAATAATTAATGACATCATGTTAAAGTTGGTAGGGATCATTCATCCCAAATCCAACATACAAGAAAGAAAATCAATCTTAATTCCGTACATTGATTTTAAAGTAAATTTTGTTTTATCAACTTCAATGAGTCCCTGTAATTTCTACTAGTTAACTTTCAGTGTACGTCAGTTGTATCTAGTTATTTGATTCAAATATATTTTCCTTGCAATGGTTACATCATCAATTTGTATGAAGTGACAGCTGCTCAGTTAATAAAACTGCTATTAGTAGTCTCTGAATTGAAATATAACTGATTTAGTTTGGATATACATTCAGTCCTCGTTGACCTCGTACAATAAACCTTAAGAGGATTCATCTTACGGAGCATCAAGGAGCTACAGGCGGGTAGACGTGTTGAATATGATATTGCAGTTGTTATTATTCACCTAAAAAACCCCATTCTCAGCAACAAAGAGTATAAACACATATGAAGCTTCAACGATCTAATATAATGAGAGAATAAAATTTCTGATTTACGCATTATGCTAATATTATACGATTTGGTGACCAGGATAATACTATCATGACTGGATACGTGATTGATATACTGATCACACTATATCGGATACACAATTCACAAACAGACAACATGCTACGCAATACTTTATTCACAGCAGGAATATAAGCAGTTTACACTA